AAGATTTTTCACCACGTCTCACACAGCCCTGAACTCTGTTGGACCATCACCTGAAGCAGGTTAGGGAGCAACATATACCACAAAAAGCACAGCTAGGAGGAGGAAGGAGCCTGTGCATTGAATTTGCGCTGCAAAACCATAAAACTTTTAGTTTAAAATATTCCACTAATTCTCCAACGAACTACCCGCTATCTCATGCTTCTGTTTCTTGCAATGCAAATGCAAACTGTTAAATCAGATGCCCTCCATCAGACAGGCCCCCAAACAAAAAGTCATGGCAACACTATCCGAGCCCACACAGCGCAGGGCAGAGGCAGGCATGGAGGAAGTGGTGGCAACACCGCTGACTGGTATTGCCATCAGTGACTCCAGCATTTGAAACCATATTTTTATTCTGGATCTGGGTGGAGACTGCTGCTGTGCTTGGTTACAGGAGGGCACTTAATTGTCCTTAAATTACATGAAATTAAAGATGGTAGTTATACCCTTCACCTTCAGTGAGGTTTTAATTAGATTCATCCCACCAGCCAGTCCATCTGTGCATGTCCATTTTGGCATATTACTAACATGTTTAATGGAAATAAACAAAGCCATGTGTTTTATGTTAAAATGAAGAACACGACCTCTTGGTTACAAAGCAATTCATAATTTCAGTGGAATTTTATTTCAGTTCAGTATTATGGGTCATACACAAAATCACAAGATACTAGTTTCCTGTGTATCCGAGAGATGTCCAGTACATCAAATGTCCTAGTATTAATTTAACCAGTAATTTATTCAGATACTATTAAAAAAATTGCGTTGGGATGCTTCTGATAGTGAAAGTACTAAGAGTCCTTTTCACATCTTTCACTTGTATTCATTTGAAGCAATTTATTGCTACTATCATATAACATATCCTCTGTATTTATATATACATTTATATAAAGTTGCACAACTTATGGTAAATTATTACATGTCTAAAAGTCATCTGTAGTTCAAAGATTTGTTACTGAGCACAAAGAAGAATAGAAGACACTTTGTTAAAAGCATAAATATACTCAACTGACTTAGCAAATATGTGACTACCACACCACTGCTCGGAAATTTCTTGTAAAGTATAAGGTATGAAGCCAAAAAGGAAGCATAATGCAATAAGTTCTTTAAAGATATAATGGAACATATGAGAAAGAGAGCACAATGCACTATGACTTACTCTGTAACCAGTCTAACCAGAAAAAAATAATTACAGTCAGCTCTCCATTAATACTGGGTGGATTATCAAATTTGGAAATAAATTAGGCTAAGGATGCACAACAGCTGCCTTGCTTCCAAACAGTCCAATTAAAGCTGGCAGGGCTTATTAACTCAGGCACAGCACCATCCAGGCCTGGCACTGCTGCTTCCAGCCCTGAGCTGGTGCTGGGCAGTTAGGGGGAAAGCACTTGGGCAGACTGGAAGCATGGCACTGACACCTTCCGCCCTGCAGAAGGCACAGTCCCAGCTGCCACCTCACACTGTGGTCCTTCCTGTCCTGGAACATGGCCAGACTTGACTGGCTGGTTACCAAGGGATTTTCCTGACCATCCTCAAACAGGAACAAGACTGTCCTGTGTAAAACCCCAATTTCCGGTTTGAAGATTCAACAGTTTCTGTGGACCTACAGTAATACTGGAAGATTTTATATCATTTTGCGAAGAGATTTGTTAAAAAGACAAATCTTGAAATTCCAGATGGATTCAAACTTTCTTCTTTCCTTTAAAATTGATCATTCTTCCAACTATGAGATTTTTTGGCTACTGTCAGGCTTTTGCTGGAAGGAAGCATCATCTTTTCTTAGAAGTAGGATAATTAGTTTATGTAATAAATTACTTCATACTCAACTCTCAATTATTTATTGATTTTACTTGACACTATGATCTCTTGCTAGTTTTGTAAGCAGTATGGATCACTTTAATTGTAGTTTTTCTGAGGTTTTTTCCCTAAAGTTTTCCCATTCTAGGAGCCATTTTCCTTAACATGATTGAGTCATCTGTAGGTTATGGAATACACACATGCAAATTAATTGAGTTGCTTCCCGAAGTGATCTCAAGCTCACTTCACACTTCCGTGGCAGGTCTTTTGAGCAGTCAGGTGACTGATTCTGGGTACTGTGCCTACTGTTTCCCTATTCTCTTTCCTTATGTTCAATGTTCCCAGAATGGCTGTAAGAGTGCTTTTCCGTCAGCGTGACTTTTTGTAGTAGGTGAGTATATTGCGTTCAGTACCTGGATATAGAACATGGAAACTCAGGAAACCCAGAAACTGTGCTTTCTTGTGTCAAAGAATGAATCACCTCTACCCAAAGGACTGCCGGTCCTTAAATTCTTTTTATAATACTACTAATGCTGCATAAATAAATTGTTGAAATGTCTGGTGGTGGTACTGTGGGTTATTTTAATTCTTTTAGAGACATTATTTGGAGTTACCAAAACTGAAGAATAATTCTTAAGACCCAATAAAACCAAGTGACTGAGAAATTAATTTCAATTCCTAATAGGCAACTTTTGAAATTCAAAACCACCTGGACTGAATTGGTAAAGTTCAATACAAACATTTTTTCACTATAAATAAGCAATCTGCCAAGTTTTTAGCTGTGTAGGAAATGATACAACAAAAATGACACCTAGTAAAAAACATCACCCTTCAGTAAGTTAATGAAGTGCTTTTTGTTTTATTTAAATAAAACTAGTAGAACCCGTTCTGGAAATAACTATTCTGAACTTTGGAATGACAACAGGTTTCCACTCTTGAACCTCAGACTAAACAAAGACATCAAAAAGAAGAACACAAAACCTTCCAGGTTATTGCAGTGATGTGAAATAAAACCACAAACCACCTCAATGCTTTCCTGGTGAAGGAAATACTTCAACTCAATGGGTAAGAGCTGTTGCTGAACTATTTCAAGACAAGAGGGGGAAAGGAAGAGGCAAGAGTTATAACTAAAACTAAGTATTTGGGAAATGTTAAAAAAATGCCCTGAAGCTACTTTAACAGATACAGAAAATCTGATGCAGCATGGTTTTCTTGTTCTCCATTAATGTCAAGTAATGCTTTCAAAATCTCTAGTGAAAGAAAAATAAGACTTAACAGAGACTGACAAAATTGGCTCAAATGTGATCTCAGATTCTTAAGCCTAATGCCTAACTGGTGTCCTATTTCATATTCTGTAGAAAAAAAAAATCTCTGGCCTCTTTTCACCACTATAAAGTTCTCTGAAACATTATTATGATAAATATGTATCTATTTTTATTTTCTCTTTGTGTAAATACATACTGTCATCCATGGTATTTTTGGTACTAGCTAGGGATTTTTATTATGGTTCAGTGTCTTTATTCAGGCAGGAAAAAGAACTGAATGTGAGACCTCTCTTCTTACTCAAAGGCCTGGGACAGGGAGTCCAGCTTCAGGACTGGTGGATCAGTCCCACTGTTATGGCTTGGCACATTGGGTTAAAGGTCCCGTCACAAGCTTCAGAAGCAATACTAATCAATGTCAAACACACAGAAATACTGCAGCCGAAATTGCAGGGTTCAGTGGTCTTTCTCATACATAATTAAGCAAATAATCATCTAGCCAATCTGCAAAAAGTCTTTTAATTAGGAAAAAAAACCCTCAAACTTTATCAGCAATCACCTTGTCATATAAAATGTTTCCTATTGCTTAAGAACAACAGAAGTGGAAAAATCCACTGGGATTTAGATGCAAAAAGCTGGTCAATATTAATGTTTGGAGTTCTTTTACAACACAAGCTGCATTTTTTAGCATTTTCTTCTTTTAATAGAGGCCAGCAATATGAGTTATCTGAAGATTGTGAAATTTCTTCGAAGATGGTATCATCTTACAGCCAGTATGGTTGTTTGCATATTGTTTAATTGGCAGGATTCTTCCTGAAGTCTTCAGAAGTGGGTTTTTGTTGTTTGGGTTTTGTTTTGTTTGTTGGTTTTGATGTTGTTGTTGTTATTTTGGGGGTTTTGTATTTTGTTTGTTTGGTGGTTTTTGGGTTTTGGTTTTTTTTTTCCTTAAATGAGATTCTGGATTTGCATATCTCCATTTTTATCTAAAGCCACACTGGAGCAACAAAAGCTACAGCTGACAAGAATGGAGCAACTTCCCTGCAAGATCCGTAACCCTGGACTTTTGGAGAAGCTAAGGCACCTAAAAGCAATGGACACCCTTCAAAGGCATGTACATAATCAAATAAATATCAAGCTGTGGTTACTTTGCAAATATTAATTTTGTTTAACTAAGCATCCAAATTAATGTCTAAATGCTGAAGTTATCCAACACATTTAAGACAGCATTAAGACCCATAAAAACATAGCTCAGTAAATGAAGGACTAGTAACTCAAAATGCATCCCTTCCAACCCCCCGAGTGTTATGGGGTTATGGTGATATGGCCTATGGCTGTGCGGGGATTTGCCTGTCTCGAGCACAAGGTCCCACAGTTTCACTTGCAGAATTGTCCATGCACACGAACAAACGCAGACGCCACAAAGGAGGGTCACTGATAAGCAAGCGGCTGTGTGATGCCAGAAGTGTCCCTGCGGCGCACCTGAGGAGAGCACAGCCAAGGGCTCACCAACAGCTCGGGGTCCCAAGCCCCACGAGCTCAGGCTGGAGGAGCTGATCTTGCCCTGGTTTTTATCACACCCACGCGCCCTCACAGCCTCTCTCAGCTGAGCGGGCATCCGGGGCCGCTGCTGCGTCCCTCCTCTCGCCACGGAGCTGCGGGAGGCCGCCCCGAGCCGCCCTCCATCGGCGCCCACCGTGCCGCGGCCCGCAGAGCTGAGGGCGGCAGGACGCCTCCCCCCCACCGGCGCTCCCCGTGACTCGCTTCCTCCGCCGGACGGGAACTGGGCGGAGTGAGCGGCCCTGGCCCCGCCAGCGGAGTCGTCCGGGCGTGCTCAGTGCCTGCAGAGCGCCGCGGCTGCCTCCGCGGGGACGGGACGGAGGGGGAGAGGGAGGGACGGACAGACGGACGGACGCACGCAGCCGAGCCCCGCCGCCGGGGCGTGCCTGCGCTGCGCACCCCGCTTCTGCCAGGGCTCCGCCGCGCTGCAGCGCCAACATGCCCGCCGTCGACAAGCTCCTCCTGGAAGAGGCTCTGCAGGACAGCCCGCAGGTAGCGGCCGCTGCCGGGACAGCCCGTCCGTCCGTCCTTCGGTGTGACGCACCTGAGTGCTCGGTGCCGGCGGGTCTGGCCGGGCCGGGGTGGGCTGAGAGCAGGCGAGAGCCGGGGAGAGGGGTGCCGAGGGCGGTGCGGGGGGATGGCGCGGCGGGTCAGGAATTGGTCGGGGCGAGCTGAAGTGGTCGAGGCGAGCTCGGCGGTCGGAGCCGTCGGGGAGCGGGGATGCGCTGAGACGCGCGGGCGGCAGCCGTGCGGCCGCGGGGGCAGTCTGGTGTCCTGCGGGGCGTTCGTCGGGGGAAAAGCAGGCAGAATCTGCTCCTCGGCGTCCCCCAGCGAGGGGGACACTGCGCCCGTTCTCCTCACCCCCCCTTAGTGAAACTGCTGTGGCTTTTTCCTCGTACCGTCCCGTCTGGGTGTGCGCTTGCTGGACATAAAGGTTGCCTGGAACAGCCGAGATGTGTCGGGGAAGGACAGGTGGGCTCGGTGCGCCGGCTTCCCCCGAAGGGAAAACGACACCTGTGCGCAGTGAGTCACCTTGCCCCGGTGGCGGAATAGGCTGGAGGAGTGTCACCACCAGCGTGCCTGATCCTCAAGGGCCGCAGTTTCCATATAGGAGCTTCCATGAGGATAAGTGAGGCGGATACCACCGAAGATGACGTCCTTTGAAGGGGTGTGAGGAACGAAGAGAGGCGGTCGCTGCCCTTCCCTTTCCTTCCCGAGTGCGGGCAGGGGAGGATATTCCTCCTTTGGCCCCAGCGTCCCGTGCCCCGCCGCCGGGAGCCGCGATGTGCCGCAGCTGCACAGGGCACCCCTGGCACTGTGGAAGCCCCCCCGAGAAGAACATGCCGTGTCTTGATGTGTTCAGGGGCTGGTTGAGTGGAAGAGAGAAGTAACAGGAAGGGGAAAGAATGGAAATTTCGCTGGGGGATGTGGAAGGAGTTTTGGGGACAAAGCATGGTGTGGAACGAGATACAAAAGTAGTTGGTGAAGCAGGGAATAAACAAATGAGGGCAGGGTGGATCAGTATGGGTGCAGCTCCCAGGTAAGCCTGTGTTGTAATCCTAAGTCGTGTGCTGATGGATCAGGAGGAGGAATGACTGGGTAAGCTGTAGAGCAGATTGCTGCAAGGTGTTACAGAGTCTGTCATGAGACATTTTGGAGGAAAGATTGGAAATGCACTTGTCAGGACTTAGTGAGCTTTGGGTCTTAATTGCCTCATTTTATCCTGGTTTTTTGGTAATTTCACAAAATCTCATTCTAGTAGGATGGGTTTCATCATCTGTTTGATGTGGCGTATTTGTAATCATCCTTAGGAATTTTAAACTCTGGGCTGGAAGAAGTGTTGAGTAATGTGATGTTACACCAAAGTCAGCCCTGCTTGGAGCAGAGGTTTGGACAAGGTGACCTACAGAGTTCCTTACCAGCCTGAGCTTTTCCATGTTCCACAGTTTGCCAGAATGTACCAGATTCATTATGGGTAGTTAGTAACATTTTTAGTGTTAAACTACCCACTGTGTCCTAAAGCTGAAGAAATGGACATGCAGAAGAAATGAACTAATTTACCTCTTCAGTCAACACTTCTCTCAATGATAAAAAATATAACACTGACTGAAAGCAGCTGAACAATGCAATGAACGGAATTTGGAGGTCATCATCTTTCCTGTGTCCTGAAATGAAGGCTGTCAACGTCTGCTTTGCAATCACTGGAATACCAGGCAATGCATAAACCTGGGTATTGCCAGGATGTTTTACCCTGATTTGGTCATTGGTTTTTCTTCAAGCTCTACAGCTTTTGGAGGGGGTGACGTTTAATTTTTATAATGGCCCAGTGTTGCTAAAATATATTATTGTCATGCAAGGAAGAAGAAGCGGGTTTTTTCAATCTTTTATATTTTTGTTACTTTTTTCACTGGGGAGAGCTTAAGATTCACAAAATCAAGGCAAAAAGTTAGTCTCTATCCCACAGAAATAAGCAGCATAGCATTTTATAGAATCAGTTACTTCCGCAAGAAGGAGCCTGATTCTCTCCTGCTCTCTGCAGTTACAGGAGTGCAAAGGGATGGCGAAATGAGGATATAATCTCACTTTGCATAATCTGTGGGAAGTATGTGATTTACATGCAAGACCAAGGAGAATTAACCAAAGTTATTTCTTCATCAGATTTCTGGAACTTGATTTATCTCTCCCCATCAGTACAGTACTTTTGTCTTGATTTGTCTCCAGACTCTGGCTGAAACAAGCCAGAATTACAATTAATTAAACAATTAAGAAGTGTCTTAATTTTGACATGTTTGGCTACAAAACACAGAAAAATTTATGTCAGCAGTCATGCTAAAATCAAGGGAAGTACTTACATGAAACTAGAATTCTTTTTTCCAGTCCTTGCAGAAGCTGAGACAATGTTGTGAATAATGGAGCCTCCTAAATGTCAGCTTAATATTTGGATTACTGATTTATTTCAGCAGAATTAGCTTCTATTCCAATATTTGTCAAAACAGCAAGAAAGAAAATACATACATGCTGGTATTTTGTTGCAGTGATTTCATGTGGTATTCTTAAATGTAAAAGTTTCCAAGAATAACTTCCAAACTGTCTGAATAATTTATTGTTTTTATTATTTTTGAACAATGTGGTAATAACAGAGGCCAAGACTTTCAGAAGTTGGTTCCTGGAGCTGTTCTACCTCAAACCGTATTTAGGCAAATGAAAAATCTGAATCTGCAAAAATTCAGTAAAATTTACAAATGCAGCTGACATTCCTGTATTTAGGAACCTTTTCCAGCAGACAGAAGTGTGTGATTTGTAGCCTACTTCAGGCAATTTCTTTACAACCTTTGAATTTTGGCTTGCAATTTGGCTTGACAAACATTGTGTCAAGTTTTATAATTTTTGCTTTTCCCAGATTTATTTTTTAACCATCTTTGTATCCTGTACTTTTTATGTGCTATTGTAACACAAATTGAGTACTGCATAGATACAAAATAGTTTGTTGACATTATTTTGCTTTACATCGTTGAAGATAAAACATTTGAAACCAGATATTTTTAAAAATCAATATGTTTGCAGTTACTGAAATAATATGTTAATGTGGAAAACTCTCAAAATCGTGCCACTGTCCTTACAGGGAAGTTCTGTACAAAGGTGCTTTAAACATTTGGGTTCCTGGTATAAATTTCATTGACTTGGACTTCTCTTCATTCTCTGGTTTTTATGTTCACCTAATTTGAGAACAATACTTTGTAATGCATATTCCCTTACATGCTAGGATCTCAAACTAGCTTCCCAAACTGCCAGCATCTCTCAGGTAGGGGGTGTTGTAGCAGCTCAGCACATCAGCCAAGTGAACTGTTGAGAGCTTTTAAAGCTGCTCCCAGGAAGAAGGTTCTGAAAAGAACTCAAAGACTGACTCCCAGGTCATGTATTTTAACCACTGACCAGCACTAGTTTCTGACTTGGATACTTCTCAGCAGAGATGAAATCATAGTTAATCATAGGCCAGAATTCTTGAAGGATGCTGGTGTTGAGTTTTCCAGGATGAAGAAAGTCTGGGCAGAGAGTTTTGCAGAGAAGAAAAAATGCCTTGGAAAATGCACGTGCCTTCTATCAAAGTAGTGGATTATCTTAAAACTTTGAAAACAAATTTCCCAAAATTGAATCAGGTACATTAGAGATTCCTGTAAGAGGGGGATAAAAGGCCTTGCTCTTTTACAGGACTGACATGTTTATGAAAGTATTGGAGTTTATGTGTGCCCCTCATGTAAGCAGATGAAGCTCATTAATATCATAGGGCTTAGCTGTACAGATGGAGAGACATTTCCAGTTAGCCTCTAGTAGATTGGATTTATCAAAGCTAAGACTAAGTATGGATCATGAGTTTGTTAAAGAGACAATCTTTCCTCTTTAATTATTGTAAAGATCTAGCAAATTTTAGAGCCCAGCATTGTTCTGAAATATCTTTTTTATCCTATCTTGGGAGCTGTGTCAGCAGCATAATTCTTTATTCCTGACAATTCAATCAAAAAAAAACCAAGGGAATTTCTGTCTTTTAAGATAACACAAGTTCTTCCTTCCCCTTCCTGCTTGCTGGCTAGGATGAATTAGTGGAGTGAAGAAAGTACAGGGTATCTCTGAGTGGGTGTATCCTTGTGTGCCTCTTGGAGATGAACTCTCAGTTGTTTGGTCCAGTGACATCAGCTTGCTTTGGCCAGGGCCCCTTAAGAGTTGCTCAGGACAGTGGGGAGTGAATAACAGCGTGTAAATTATCTCAGTGGAAAGGGGTGCTTTCAATGCAGTCTGACACTGGAGAAGTAAAATGAGCAAGCAGTGGTGTTTGACCCCCAGTCCTTAACAGGGTTTGAATTACTGTCGTCAGGAAGATATTCAGGATTTTTTACATCCCTGATTATGGACTATTGGAAGGACTGTTAGTAGGAGCAAGAGCCTGGGAGTTGTGATGTGGCTGTAGCATTTTATTAGTTTGCATCCTTGTGCCTCAGTTTAACATCCATATAAAAGAAGCTATTTCTACATGTTTGGAGGTTCTGAATAAACAGAATCATGCAAGTCAAGGGCATATAATTTCTGATTGTTTTTTACTTTTTACTACCATCTCTTTGTAGTTGTTTGATTCTTTTTAATATTTTTGCTTAGGACTGAAAGCTTTGCTTTTTTTTCTTTTATTGAAGACTCGTTCTTTGCTCAGTGTCTTTGAAGAAGATGCAGGAACCCTTACAGAATACACAAACCAGTTGCTTCAGGCAATGCAACGAGTCTATGGTGCCCAGGTAATTTTTCATTTGTATTTCTTTTGTTCTATCTGGAGTAGAAGATAAATTGCTATTATGATGCTGTTATTTACATTAGAGTTGCTAAGTACATATTTCTTATGTGGTTTAAGAGGAGTTGTGGGTGTTTTTCATCTGATAGCTCAACCTCTTCCTGCCTTGATGCTCAGAAAAGTAGTATTCATTAAAAAAAAAAATAAGTTCTTTATTTTGTCTGCAAACAATTAATCAGAGTGAAACTGTGCTGTGTCCTTACCTTATGGTACATTGGGAGGCCAGCCTTGGCAAAATTGCTTGCCAAAATGCAGACACGATTCCCAGGTCTGCACACTGACTTTAGGCACCTAACTTTGATGCTGTGTTTCACCTCATGGAGGGAACTGCCCATGTCCATTGATTACAGAGCAGATGTGCACTTTGGGTCATACTAAAGTCAAGTACCTAGAGTAGTTGTGAAAGAAATGAGCAGGAGCAGAAAAAATAACATTTTCTAGATTGTTTACATGACCTAGATGACTAAATCCCTTTGAAAGTAAAACCTGTAAGAGAAATTGCATGCAGTGCTTTGGAAAATGTAAATCTGAGTGATTTTCAGTGAAGCTGATTCCCGTGCGCATAAAATTAGGTGCTTCAAAATTCCATATCTGGGTCTTTAAAGACATACGCAGTGTCTCATTTTTTGCAATATATACATGTTTTGCAAGTATTTACATAGGTTAAATTCCTGAGTTCACTAGAAACAACTTTTCTGTTCTTAAACCAGTAAATCAGAGCCCACTGAGAGATTAAGAGCTATGGGGTATTTTGAATTTCCCTGAGGAGTGCCTGATCTCTACATTATTAGAAATCAGCTCAGCTGTAAGTCTTGCTATAAGCAAGGTATATGTCCATTTGATGGGATTGCTCTTTGGATGACTGATAGTTTGACCTGGAGGAACAAGTTGCCCAGGATCTGGCTGCCTACACCTGGATGATCCAGCTTTGGAGAGCTTCACAGTCTCCACATCTTGAATGTTGTGCAAATGCAGAGCAGCCATAGGTTTGCAGCACAGCTTAGGTACATAGGAAATTATGCAGGGCACGGCCAAGGGCTTGAGAGGTGGCATGAAATCAGCACTAAAAGTTGGGGATAGGCATTTTGGTAGAGTCGCTGTGCTTTAAGAGTAACAACGAGTGTGGGCATGTTGTGTGGTAGGAATCTGACAGCAAAGACTGGGTAGGATTGAAATGGATGAAGAAGGGAATCAGGAGATAAATCTGATTCCTAATGTCCCCCCTGAGGGCTTCATGTCCCTTTCCACTGCTGATGACATTTTAGGATGGCATTTTAGGAAGTGGTTGCTCTATGTGATTCAAGAAAAAAAAAAGCGCTTTTTCTGCTTTTCTTTGCCTCTTCCTTTTCATCTTGGTTTTTAGCCTTCTCCATTTCTATTTCACCACAATTATATTTCCTTTTTCTTCTCATTGTCTCAGTACATTTACCCATCACTATTTTGCAGTACTACTGAGTCTACTTCATTTTTCCAGCACTTTTTCGCCACTTCTTTCCTGAACAGATGTAAGATGTACTTTAGTTTGATGTAACTATTCAGTCGCTTGTGACTATTTGATATAAAATCTGATTCTTTAAAATAGGTCTTTGGAGTTTGATGCAGTTTTGAGATGTAGAAATAGAAGGGTAATGCTGAATTGCCTACTAAATATAAAGTTAGTTATTGACAGTTAAGAAAAATGTATGTGGTATTTCTTGGCTGCCTAATCACAACTTGAGAGAAAAAGCACTTTTGTTGATATGTTATCTGGGCCTCAATAGCAGCATATTAAGAGATGTTACCAACCCTGTAAAAGCTGAGTATTGAGAAGCCACTTTCTGAATTTGCCTTTTTATTTTCATGACTTAAATTTTGACTCTGCAAAGTCAAATTTTCTCTTTGCAAAATCATTGTCATCTCCTGCTCTGATTTCCGTGTCTGTAAGGTAGGAATTACAGTTACTGATCTACTTTAAAGCAATGGCCATAAAATGACTGGGATCACAGTCAAGGCAGTCAGACAAAGCATCAGTGGGTTGTACTAGTATCCGGTACTGAAAATTCTGGGTTTATGCCCCCTCAAAACACTTATGACAGTTTAAACAAAATGTGAATTTTGTTTTCTTCTATAGTTTTTTCTGAACTTTAACATTTCCCAGATGTTTTAACCATGTTTTCAACATTTTTTTGGACTAGCTTACTAGAAATTTGGCATTTCTTCTGATGAAAACTCTGATTTTCATGTTATTCAAACCACTGTAGGTGTGATCAAATAACAATAATTAATGGCTCTCAAGAGATTCAGTGCAGAGTCTCAGGGGAGTAGCAATTAGTACCAACTGCATGCTGTCTCTAGCTGTGTCAAAACACTGCTCTGTGTGGAGAGCCACACTAAATTTGTAAAGTGACAGCTCAAACACCTTCAAGCACTTTGATCTGTGCATTTGAAAGGAGTGTGAAAAAGAAATACTTGCCCATATTTGAAAAAAAACCATTTAGGAAAATAGGAATCCTTTTAAACATCTTTTCAGACTTAAGTGTGTTCAAGCAGGACTTTAAAAAGAGTGTGAGGAGGGATGTGCAACTGTGTAGCAGTGGCTCTGCTGCCTGGGCTGCAGCTGGGTGATGCATGGATAGCAGATTGCCTTGGCTGCAAGGCCCTCAGTGCTTTACAAGCCTCTGGTTGCCCTGCAGGATGAGGACAGTGCTCTCACCTCCTGGGCACCCACACCACATGGGATCAGGTGGTAACTCTTTAGTGCAAAAGAAGCTGTGATGCTACAAGGTAGATGCAGTGTGCGATGCCCTGATTAAGAAGTCACAGGACCCAAAAGTGGCACTGGGGGAGTGAGGTTGCCCTGATGCCCTGATTAAGGAGAAGTCACAGAACCCAAAATTAGCACTGGAGGAGTAAGGCTTGTTGATCTGGCAAACCAATGTGATTAAAAACCATGAAGCATTTTTATATTCATCAAATAAACCACACCTGTGTGAGTACATACTTCCTTCTGTAGATCTCCCAGCTGTGCTGTAGTACTCTGGAATAGTTACCGCAGTAGTTGTCTTATACAGGAGATCTTCCTTACAGAGTTTATTCTTGTAGTGCTTCCTTCTTGTGTGCAAGCCCTGATGTTGCATCTGGCATTACTGCTGATTTCTCTGAATGTTGTGTTTGTCAGTCTGGATATTGTATTACCTGAGCAATATTATAATGCAGCAGCAAGCAAGGACTGTTAGAAAATTTAATTTGCTGAATTTACAATGCTGAGGTTCTTGCAATAGTGTATGAGCAAAGTGTGCCCAGTTTACCTTCCTGACCACTGTCATAGTAAATTGTTTTCAGAGCTTTGCTCTCATTTCCAGTTCTCCATCATGCTCTAGAAATGGCTGAGCAGGGAATCTTCACTTGAAACAAAATGCCTTTAGGAAACTTAGGAGACTCTCGTGTCTCTGCTGACTATTAGAAGTGATAAATAGTTGAGCAGGTGAGAGGAGAGTAAGGTGCAGTATTTTGTCATTGTAAAGATATTTCATCTCGCGAGTCCTGACTAGACCTGTCTAGATACAGGGGCAGTGATATCAGAAGAGTAGTACAAAGCAACAAATGTTGTATTTATCAATATATCTGGAGAGGGAACAGCATGGGAATTGTGAAGCATGATCTTGTTCAGCATCTCTGTCTCTGTGAGCAGTTGTCTTGTGATTCCAGAGGCACACAGGCAAAGCAGCAACAGCTGCTGTGGCTCACTGCCTTTTTACATCCAGACTCTTACAGAGACTTTTGACAATTATGGAACAGTCTTGGTTTATAGGTACCATGTTATGGGTGTCAGGACAGCTTGAATCTGCCAAGCTATTTTTAAAGTAGTGCTTTATAAATGTTACTTCTCTCTGCAAATTCATGATTCCTCATGTCTGCATTTTTCAACAGTGCTGCTTGTTTGATTTTCCTGTGTATTGCCTTCAGGAGGCTGTAACTCAGTAGTTGGGTGTCAGGCCGTTCAGACTTCGCATGGACTTTCATATTGATTATGTTGCATAGCTAACCCCAAGTGCTGAGAGTTCTTGCTTATTTAGCAAGTAAGCACTGATACAGCTTTTGTTTTAATTGTTTTCTTTTAATGTCTAAGGGAACAGTTGTGTTGGCTTTTCAAATTATAAGACCTTTTTTTTCCTAAAACGTTTTGATGGAATAAAAATTAAGTTAGCATTTTATAAACTTCTAATTTGACATAGAGAAGCTTCAACAGAGTGTTAGAATGGGACAGACATTTGCAGTAAACTACAATTGTCATCACTGACTTCTGTGAAATACTGTGTGTGTTATTATTCCATACTTGCAAGTTTGCATCATACCTCTTACCTTCCTGAGGCTTATTCACCATATATTGCTGACAGAGATAAGCAGAAGATTACTACATGAGAACTAATGCATTTAATAATATTACAATTATTTGTAATGCCATTACAAAGGCATGGGAGTTGGGTTTAGTGCTGCCTATAAAGTCAGAGTTGTCACCATGCCTGGAAGCAGGTTAACATTGTGCTAAGGAGGATCTGGGGATCTGAGGCAGCATGAATGTATAGATGCTCTGCTGATAGTAATTGTTTTGACAGAAGAGGTTCTTTCTGTACTGAACTAACCATCCTGTAGCTGCTTTTGGTGTTTTTCAGCAGAGCTTTGACTGGTTGCTTCTGTTGGAGCTACTGGATGATTCTTTGCTGAACTGTTCCCATTTGTTAGGATAGGATGCCATGCTGTGATCACCACAAGGGCAAGCCATATGTTAGCCTGATCTTGTAAAATGCTGTGCAGCCTGAGCAACCTGGTGATGCTTAGCTTCTGCAGCCCTGGGTTCATGTTTCCAAGCCATTTAATATGCAAACCTAAGCCTGTGGGTCTGTGCCATTTCCTAGATTGCTGGCTAATTCTGTTTTGTAGGAAGATAAGCATATGTAAAGGGAGCTG